CTTGTTTTTTGGGCTGGCTTCTCTTTTTTCAAAAAATTACCAAAAAAGAAAATTTTCTGAAAAAATGGGGATCAGCAAAAAGAGTTTATTATCAGTAGTAAAAATATATTTTTTTAATAAAAAACAGCTTTTTTTTAAATAAAATATATTTTTTGTAAAAATTAAATACAATTTTTAAATTTTTAAAAAAAGTAAAACTCAAATAATTAATTCTAGAGCATAGCCCAGGCCTTTACACTATTTATAATTAAAATATATAAAAAATAAATTTTTTTATTAAAAAACTATTTTTTTTTAAATAAAAAATTCAATAAAAACTATTTTTTATAAAAAAAAAGATAAAATTTTTAAAAGTAAAACTCAAATAACTAAACTTGGAGCATAGCCCAAGCCTTTTCGCTTGTTGCCAACAATCTAGCCTGGCTACGGGTACTCAAAAAAAAAAAAAAAAAAGTATCGAACCAATAATCATCAGGACCGAGACCTAGCCGATCCAACCCTTAAATTGCCTTATATGGCACATCACATTTGTTGATTTTTTTACTAAATAGAGCTAAGAGACGTTATTGCTCGTGTAAATTTGTTTTTAATGGGTAGCGCTTCAAAAAAAAGTCAGACAATTTCCTGATAGAAAAATGATAGATAGGACTTGTGTAATTAAAATAACATTGATAATGCCGCAGCTTTCTTCGCCATTTATAAGCTAAAAATATTTAAAATTGATCAACATATTGTAAAGTTGAATATGCATTCAATTTACTGTATTTTAATTTCCACAATTTTTTGGTCATTATATAGCACGCGACTGAGTTATTAAGGGTTAACTTTTTTTTCGAAAGTGTGGATTCGACATGGCAACGACAACAGCGAACAAGCAACCCCAACTAAAATTTTCAAAAGGCACTAGTGTAATACATCAAACCCCAAAGAACCAAGCAAAGAATGCTTCTTCTAAGGCATGGCTTCATTTTGTAGCCGGAGGGTAACGTGTTGAAGTTTGCTTAAACGTGAAGTCTTGGGTATCTCAATAAAACCTTATTGATTAATTCTTTAGTATCGGAGGTATGGCTGGAGCAATCGTCACTTCACCCTTAGACGTCGTGAGGACTCGTTTACAGGTATTCGTCTAATGTTCATGCGTGGTATTATTCATCGCTTGTCTAAACGTTTTCGCATTTTCTTAGTCATCAATCTACAGCTCCAAAACACAATCAATACAACCGCTTGTTCATTCAAATATACCGATTTTAGGACATTTCATTGACACCGGAAAATTGCTGACGTATGTTCTTTACGCTTCGCCTAATTATTTCATACAAATTATTATAGATCTAAAACTGTAATAACAACATTACTTAAGATATGTATACCGGACTGAAGGCGGAAGCGCGTTGTTTAAAGGATTGGGGCCAAATCTCGTTGGCGTCATACCAGCTAGGTAGCCGATGATTCTGCGATTTGTTATACACAAGTATCCATCTCATCCGGTACTGTTATCTGATTGTAGAGCAATCAATTTCTTCACATATGGAAATGGCAAACGAATTCTGACAGATTGGAACGGGGGACAGGAAACTACCTCGGTCCATTTGACGGCTGCTATTATTGCAGGTTAATATTATGACTTACTGTATATCACATTTGATCTCTTTTTCCTTTCGTTAAATGAAATTATTTTAATACAGGACTTACGACCTCCACTGTGACTAACCCCATATGGCTTGTTAAAACTCGGATGCAACTTCAAACATCTTCGGTCGCATCCATCAAATACAAGAATTCCTTTGATTGTGTGAGAAAGGTAGTCAAGGAGGAAGGCATAGCAGGACTGTATAAAGGGTTGAGTGCTTCCTACATAGGTAATTGTCGTTTGATCTATAATGCGCTTTAAAGATTATCGACTCTTACTAATTCTTCTTTAATTCTAGGTGTGACTGAGAGTACTATACAATGGGTCGTATATGAATACCTTAAATCGAAACTTGCGGAACGAAGAGAAAGAAAGCGAATTATATCAGATGAAATAGAGAAAAACAATTTGTACATGTTGGATAATTTTTTTGCCGCAGGCTCTTCGAAGTTTTTAGCGGCTTGCATCAGCTATCCTCACGAAGTAAGTATATATTCAATTTAAGGACCACCACATTTAATGAGGTCAAACGAATTAATTAATCCTTGTAATTGGTGCCTATGATAACAAGGTGATCAGAACTCGTTTACGACAGCTTCCCACGGAGGGCGCTAAATACAAAGGCCTTGTCCACTGTGTCAAGACTATTTTTAAAGAAGAGGGTTTCTTGGCTTTTTATGGTGGAATTACTGCACATATGATGCGTGTGGTTCCCAATGCAGCCATCATGTTCTTTTGTTACGAACTGATTTTGCAATATGGTGGTGCTAATAACAGTCCATCAAAGTAGTGGATTTAATAATCCAGACAAAGACCAACCGTAATGTACATAGTATCATTAATTCACAAAAGCATCTTGATATTTATCGAACTGAGTTCTAAAGTAATTATGTAGAATATAGAATCAAGTGGTAGTCTTAAGACCAACATTTTAATTTTTAGTTTTTTTTTAATTCTTCCAGAATGTCATTTGCACCTTTTTCCACCAATATAGAAGCAACCTCCTTTCCAAGTTCATCGGCTGCATCGATTCCATCCTCATCTACAATTTTTGTTACCTCAGCCTGGATAATTTCTGAACCATCAAGCCTTGCAATTAGACCAACCAACTTTAATTTTCGTTTGCAATCGTGAGATTCTATAAACTCTGTGTGAACACCAATTGGGACACTACATCCACCTTCTAGAGCTCTCAGCATAGAACGTTCGGCCGTACAACACAGCCTCGTGTCCTTATCCTCAAGTACAGATAGAATTTGGATGATCTGAACATCATCGGCCCGACACTCCACAGCTAAGGCGCCTTGACCGACAGCATGATGCATAATGGAAGGAGGAAGGATTTGTGATATCCTATTGTTCAAGTCTAGGCGAGTAAGACCCGCGACAGCTAATATCAACGCAGAATACGGCCCATTTGGATCATCCAGCTTTGCGAGACGAGTGTTCCTAAATTAAATGTGGCTGATGATAAATGTATGCTTGCATCAAACTTAGAACCTTGATAATGGTACTCACAAATTACCTCTCTTGATGCAAATTCGAGTCAAACAGAGATATTTAAAAATTAGTCGTTTAAAAACTCAATTTTTAATTAACATGAATAAAAAAACATCCTACAATATCTTGAAACACCAAGTTCGGAAAGGCTTTTTTCAACTGAGCAGTTCTCCTGACGCTACTTGTTCCAATTATGCTTCCTTCTGGTAATTCATCCAGCAATCTAAACTTCAGACCTTGTTTAATTACGACGGCGTCCTTCGGGTTTTCTCTTTTCATAATTGCACCAATGATCATTCCATCGGGTAGCGTAGTAGGTAAATCTTTTAAACTGTGAACTACGAGGTCAACGGATTTATTTTGCAGGGCAATCTCCAGCTCCTTGGTAAACAGGGATTTTTCTCCTATTTGAAACAATGGTTTGTTAAGAATCTGATCACCAATGGTGGTCATACTTATTATTGGAAACTCAAAATCTGGATAGGATAATTGTAAGGCGGTCTGAACTTGTCTCGTTTGTATTAGAGCAAGTTGAGATTTGCGGCTACCAATTGTAAAAGTTTCGTTATTCGACATTGTTGAGGTCGAGAGGAAAAGTACAGATCGATAGTTTAATATTTTTTTTTGACATTACGTAAAGTCGCCCAAAAAAGTAACTCCGATCTTTTGACGATCAAACTTTAATTTCTGTATTATATTATTGTATATGCGGAAATAATTCTCAATTGAGTCAAAGCTCCGAGCAAATTTTTTTTGCATGTAGAATGGGGAGGAGCGGAAAGAAGAAATTGTGTATTGCTTTTTATTGACGCTTTTAAAATTAGATTAATTATACACTTAAAATCGCGGGAATAATTATAAGATAATGCAAAAGTATATCGGGTTTCCAAAATTTTATTATCTATCACTATATAATGCATTAATATTTACAAGTACAGTATAATCTTGAATACTTCGCTAATTCGTTTGGGCGTACTATTTACAATATTTCCTATAAGTGTTAATTGCACTTCTTCACATGTTCTAGGGGGGTATTCACATTGTTGTGTTCTCTCTTTAAGTATTTTTTAAAATGGGTTTAAGCATTAATAGTTTTTTGCAAAACATCCCAACATCATTATACTTTTCTTACCACTTTTGATACATCAAAATTTCTTTTTCGGTTTTATAATTATATTTGATGCGGAAAAGTGATTGAAGTAGCTTTTTGTTGTGCACTTTTTAAATATAATGATCAATTTATCTTTATACATTATCAATTGAAAAACCAAACTATTTAAAAATATGAAAAAATTTATTGAGCTAGTTCCGATTAAACAAAACAAAGTCGCAACTAAATATTCTAAGTCTGATTTAAAAAACAATGTTTTACTTTTCTCTGATATTGCCGTTATTGATTATTCTAAAATCAATGAATTCTTCAATTAAGATATCAAAGGAAAATATATACTTTTTAAATAGTTTCTATCATATCTATTAATCTTCTCTTAAAAAAGATACTCTAATTAGAATATTTCTTTTACCTTTAATTATTTAAAGAACTTAATTATTTTAGATATTACAGTAAGAGATTTTTCTTGATTATTATTATTATTATTATTATTTTTGATAGGCTCATGCCTAACTTTATTGATTTCCAAGTTACAAGTGTACATTGTGCAAAGTGTGAATTACATAGGTATATATTTGGGGTTGATAAAGATAATGATAAGTTAAAGTTATTTTTAAAGCTACTTTGAGACTTATTGCCCTTTCCTTTACTAAAGAAAAATCAACATCTCTAGAGCATGCTGGTGTTATAAATAAAAATAAAGAAAAAAAAAATAGAAATTGGATAGTTATGTGTAATGTATCAGTCCTGTTGCTTCGCATATACCTGTCTTGTTCTGGTTCCCCCTGTGAAAAGGTTTGGAAAAAAACTTCTACTGAGTCTTTATAGAGATAAGATGAAGACCAAAAAGGGAAACCATATAGTTTTAAGGCTTGTAGGAGGGATTAATCAGAAAAGTCCAGGTAATATATTGGTATCTGCATAATTGACTTGAAAGTCTTCTAATATATGATCAATTAAACCCATTCTTATCTAAATATAGATATACTTATCTATCTGTACATCTTATTTCAGATTTAATTTCTTATAGAAAGAATAGCATCTAGTTTTGCAATTGACATACTCTGCTAAAGGTTATTGGTACTAATGATTAATGAGAATCTTTCAGATATTCTGGCTAGCTCGCACATCACTGCTAATATATTTGAACTCGAGTTTCAATTAGTAAAGTGGTGTTAACCTTTCAGTCTTTCAACTTGGAATTTTTTGAAAATAGGATGAAAACTTTCTGAGTTGCTTTATACATGAGCTTTACTTCTGAATATCTCTGATAGCTTTATGCTTCTCTAATTTAGACTTTTCTGGACAATAGAGATTGAAAGCTACTTGATATACAATCAGGATGTAGGTAGTTTCAATTTGAAAAAAGAACAATCAAGTATCTTGTAACCTTTATCATGGTCAGATGAACTCTTTCTTATATCCAATAATGTATCAATAATGTATCCTATATCTACCCACACCAACACATATGACTTATAGTAAACCCAGGTTCTTATAGAATTGAAAAAATGCATTTAGATATGTGAGATGGCCAATAAATACTTGTTTATCAATTTTATTCAACATGTTTCATGTCAGCCAATCAAAATCAGTAAGATTTGTGCTATTCAAAATTTCAGAATCAAGCTGAGATAAGCAAAATTCCCCAGAAAGCTGTGAAAAAGATAACTCTAAAAGGTCACAATACTAGTTAAAGGATAGAAAAGTGAGTCTTTTGATTAAAATAAAACCTTTATTATCTTTATTATAATTAAGAGGTGAGAGATACTTAACAGTTGATCATTTTTTCTTTAGTAACTTTTTTGTCATTGGTAATAAAGGTGGAAGCTGAACTTTGCAGATTATAAGAGTTCAGTTTGTTCAAAGAAAATTGTAAATAAGATATAGTGGAGATAGAGAAGTTCTAAAGATATTCTTTAAACTGATTTAAGAAAAGTAATAAGACTCTTTTAGCAAAGAAGTATTAAAACTTCTTGCAAACATCTTTTTATGTATAGTCAAAAGATCAGTAGAAAGAGTTGTATCTTAATTATTATCTTTACACTAGTCGAAATTATGTTATTCAGCTGCTGAATTATTGTCAAATTTGATAAAAATTAATAATAAAAAGATTAACGAATTATTTATGATTGCTACTACTCGCATCAAAAATATCGATATTTTGCGAAAAAAAAATTTAATACAAAATCTAATAATATTATGACAAAAAAAAATTTTTGTGATAAAAAATTTGACAAAAAAATTGATACTGTAACAAAAAATTCAGCAAAAAAAAATTGATACTGTGATAAAAAATTCAGCAAAAAAATTGATACTGTGACAAAATTAGACAAAAAAATTGATATTGCAACAAAAAATTCAGCAAAAAAATTGATACAATGACAAAAAATTTGACAAAAAAATTATTATAGAAAAAAATTTTGGCAAAAAAATTACTATAGCAAAAAATTCAAATTTCATGAAATTTATTAAAAAATTACAAATTCAATTAACTAAATTATTCATTATTTTTCTCTTTCTCTTTCTTCTTTTCCTTCTTTTCTATTTGCTTTTCTTTTCACTTTAAAGATCTCGGCTTGACTCTTTTAAAACTAGCTCCAATTGATTTTATTTTGCTAAATATTTTCTGAGATTTTTTGCTTTTTTCTTCTAATCTAACTGCTCTTGAATTTTATTCATTTATGTATTTTTCCCAGTTTGTTTCTTACCCTCTAAATACATTAATAATTCTTCATATTCAGTAATTTTTCATCTTTTGGATTTAACTACTGATTTTTTTTTTTTGTCTCTTTTTCTTGTTCATGTTCCAAAGTTTCTTCCAAACTGTATGTCCAATTTAGCAAGTCTTCTAGTGGCGTCATATCATAAAAATATGAATTGTCATGATATCATTTATGAGTCAGCTGGAATGCATGAATTTATTTTGAATGTTTATCCAAATATATTAATAAATTCTTTAACTATAAGAAGTAATTATGAATAATATTGTAATTATTCAGCATATAATATTTTGCTGAAAAATACCTCTTCAGAATGCCAACTATAATCATATACATTTATTCTTCTTTTAGTGGGATTTCCTGGATCAGTGTCACTTTCTTCAGGTGAATGTATCATTGTTTCTTTAATTACATCCACTAGTCAAAAAAAATTTATTCAGCATACTGCCACTCATATAATATTTGACAAAAAATAAACAATTAAATAAAAAAAAATTATTCAACATACTGCTACTTATGTAACATTCAGCAAAAAATAAATAATTTGGCAAAAAAATGACATAAATAAATCAGCAACTACAAAAATCGGTATATTAACAATTTGTCAAAAATTTATTAACAATTTGTCAAATAATTCATTAACAATTTAATAATAATTCATTAATAATTTGACAATAATTCATTAAAAGTTCATTTTAAAATTATTTATTAACAATTCAATTAAAGGTTCATTAACTATTTATTAAAAATTTGGCAACTATTTATCAGCAATAAAGTAAAAAAATTGATAAACTTATGCACAAATTTTTTTGAATTGAGATTATATTTATAAATTATGAATAATACAAACTATAATAT